GCACGATTCCAGGATTTATGCTCGCCATCCAGAAAGTCCTACGCTTGCGCCGTGGAGGGTTGCTGTGGCTAGGTGTGCCATGTGCCAGTTTTTGCTGGATGAGCAAGGGCACACACAGGAGGACGAGCGAGTGTCCTATGGGAAGGGAGGACTACGAATCGGTCCGGGTCGGGAACATGTTATGTGCAAGGGCAATTCTTCTGCTGCTCCTGGCGACATCACGAGGGGTTTATTGGTTTCTCGAACAGCCATCCCTGTCTGCTATGGAGTTCTTCCCTTACCTGCAGTATGCTATGCGCTTGAAGACATTGAACTGTGAGTTCATGGGTACGAATATGGTCAGGTGGCTCCTTGTTTGCATAGAGGTGACTTTCATCTAGATCTTTAAAGTCAGCAGAGTACAAACGACATATGAGGTGGATGGGCCTTTACAACCATTGGTGCTTCAAGCCCTCTATTGGCTTTGGGTCTGCGTGTGCGCCTTAGCATTTCGAATTCGAATTCGAGTTATTCGTCATCAGTAGCTGTCGGCATCGCAGCTAGCATGATATCATGATCCAGGCCATGGGTTATGCAGCTGAAGAACAAGATGACGAAGAAAGACAGAGCAAGAGTAAAGAAACGAAAGGAGGAGATGCAAATGATCCTGGTAAAGCGATCCATTGACAAAGATGGGAAGAAGAAAGTGCTTTTCGGCTTAACCCTATTTATAAGCAAAACCCCTCAAACCTGTAAAACCGAAACCCTTAAACCCTGAAAACTCGAACCCTAAACCCGTAATTCTATACGAGCTATACACCGATCATGAAGCCCTGCATCCCCCCAGGACTGGCACGAAGCATGGCTTGGAGAAGTCGGGTGCATATCCGATTAACTTTGGTCTGCGGGTGGCTGAACTTCATTTGGGCCTTGTCGAATCTTCACAGCAGCTATGCATGCGTGCTACACATAGCTATCATCGCGTATATGGATCTAGAATCCCCTGCCGATATGAGGCTGGTCGCCACGACTCCAACATCAACGACAGCCTCTCCCTGTACTCGATGCATGACAAGCTTATTGCTGGAGAGTTGAGGGTGACTTGGTTATTGCAACCCATACATGTGCAGAATTCAAGAACCAGCCTCATGATAATCAATGTTGAAACCCTAGGTTCCGGAATTGGAGTATGACTGGAAAGAAGCTGAGCTGGATGAGCTACAGGATTATCTTCAGATAGTCCAAGAGACAGGCATCTGGACACCACCACAGGACCTGCCAATGGGCATTGTGCCGATTTTGTGATGATGAGGTTCCGGGAAACCACAGACCCTGTGATATGTTATTATGGGTTTATTTAACATATTGCATATTGTACATATATCGCTACAATCCATGTGTTAGATCATCCAGATCTGTGGCTAGATTCCGGAATACTCAGTACTAGTACCATATAGTACTATAGCTTGGCTCTGAAACTACGAGCCATACGGGTCTTCTAGAAAAGCATCATCCGAGAAACCATGCTCAGACCGGTTTTCTCTTTACAGGCCCTGGGCTAGCGCTAGCATTAGCACGATAGACCCGCGGAGACCAGCTCAAAACCTTCCCCAGAAAGGTTTTACACACGATAGACGCACCAAGCCCAGCTCAAAACCTTCCCCACAAATGTTTTGCTAGATCTAGCCTCAGATCTTATTACCCGAACCTACGAAATCCAAGTGCCAAAGCTATGCCCCTAAATATGATTGTCTGTGGATAGGACCTAGGAGACACAAAACCACGAATTACATACCAAAACCGTTCTGGGCATGTGTTTGAAATCGAAGGATGCGCTTGTTATGCTTCGGCCGTAGCTTTGCGGAGGGACCTCGCAACGAGTGCGCTGTCAGAACATGACTTAGGAGCCACGTGTCCCGACGACAGGCGTGACACGGGTGACCGTGAATTACCGTGTCAAAGCCTTGCTCTGAGGATTCTGAGCGTGACTCACCGTGACTTTGCGTGACCCGGGATGGCCATTGGATCAAGGTCTTGTTGTGACTTCTGGCAAGAGCTAGCTTTTAGAGGTCCGGCTTTCGTGCCGATTGGTGCCTGTGGCTTGGCTTGTGGCCTCATGAGTCTGTCTAAAGCTGATCCGAAGATGCGGCCTGGACCCTACACCAAGAAGGCTCCATCGGCACCGAAAGAATCAGTGGACTCGGCCTTCTCCAGGAGGTCGTCTACAGATTCGATCGTGCCTCGACAGCATTTATTATGTGCTTGTGTCCAGGATTTCTTCCTTCTGCTGTGTGTTGCTTGAACGTATGCATATCCGGGATCCATGATCAGGCTTCATCGACTCGGGATCTAGATGTTGCTGCTGAAGTTCGTGCAGCACTTCGCTTGGGCAAGCCAGGCATCTGAGTTGCAAGTATCTGAACACATCCCGACCAATCCGAAAGCTTGTGTGCCCGTGTTTTGCTCGAACCTAGGTCAGCAGAAGCCGCTTGTGAAAGTGGCTTCGGAGACTGC